CACTAAAATATAAAAACTAAAAATTTTTATAAACAATTAACCATTAAAAAACTTATATTGAATAAAATTAGTTTAAAAAATTTGCTTTTACAATAAAATCTGTTGTTGTACAAAAATTTTTTGAATATTTTAAGTTTGTGACTAAACTTGAAAATTGTGAGTTGTTCATTCTCACGATCAAAGTTTTTTAAAATTGAAACTGCATTATTTTTTTAAAAAACTAGGTAGCGCCACTTTTGCTTAATTTTTATTTTGAGTCAAAACGTTTGACAAAATAATCAATGTTTATAAATTTTTGCACATTTTTAACATTTTCATTTTTTTATTAACGTTGTACTAAGAAAGGTATGTTTAAACCAACANACAAAATTTTCATTATTGTTTATCAGTGTTTTATTGTTATTCCAATTTTTTTCAAAATAACAAACTTGTAATGATATTTTTCTTATTGTTTTTATTTTTTATCATTGTGTGCATTATAATTTGATACTGTTGTATGTTTTTGCAACAACAAAATGTTTAAAATGTTTATCAGTTGTCAAAACTGAAGAAAACAACAATGTTTTTAGCCAACCGGAATTGGGAGGATATTGTACGTGATTACGAGTCAATGCAAATAGTATCTACTGAGACAGAAGAATCACCAGAACAAGATGCATCTACGCAAAGTGTTGATTCTTCTGTAGAACAAACAGTTTGCTCTTCTGATGTTGTCAATGAACATGTTACAACTCAAGGTAAAACTGCCAAGTTTAGCCTAGATGTTTGTTTTTGTTCAATGCTTGTTTTTTGTTAATTTTAATTAATATAAAGCTTTTTAGAATGCTTTTAGGGAAGAAGAGATCTAAAGTTTTAAAAAGTTAATGTAATTGTATTATTTTTTAGAGAAAATGAAACTAAAATCAGCCGACAACAAAGAACTGGCGAGTCCTGATGAAACTTCCATGCAAGATACTGTAGACGTCAAACTGCTGGATGATTTAATCAATCAACTGACAAACCAAAAATATGAAAAAATTCAGTCAAACTCATTTGACAAGGAATTTCTTAAAGCAGTTCCAAATCTGCGCATTTTGCCGCCTAATGCTAACACTATCGCATTACAAACAACAATCCGTGATCGGTAAGTATTTATATGCTAACAAATGCTAATATAAAATTTTCAAATGATTATTATATTTTTTTGAACATAGAAAATCACCTCGTGAAGACTTTGTGTTCGATTCTGATCGTCTCATTCGTCTTGTCATAGAAGAAGGACTAAATCACCTGCCTTCAAAACCCAAAACCATTGAAACTCCACCTGGAGGCATCTATGATGGCGTTGAGTTTCTCAAGTCAAATTGCGGCGTTTCAATTGTTCGCTCAGGCGAAGCTATGGAAAAGGCTTTGCGTGACTGTTGTCGGGCCATTCGCATTGGCAAGATTTTGATTCAATCAGATGAAGACACTCATCTTGCACGCGTAGTTTATGCCAAACTACCAGATAACATTTCATTACGAAAGGTACTCCTTCTCTATCCAATTATGAGCACTGGCAATACTGTAGTTAAGGCAATCAAACTGCTAAAGAAAAACGGAGCAAAAGAAGAAAATATCATTTTAATGAATTTGTTTGCAACTCCTCTTGGTAAGTAATTTTGTGACTTTTGTGACTTTTGTAATAAAAACATTTGTTTCTAGCTATTCGTGCAATTGCAAGTCGCTTTTCTCGGCTTACTATTCAAACCGCTGAAATACATCCCATAGTGCCATCACACTTTGGCAAAAAATATTTCGGAACAGATTAATTTTCTCTTATAATTTTTCTAGTAAATAGTGTTCAAATTTAGTTACTAAAACTACTTTAATTGTAGTTATAACATTTAGATAAAATTTATAATTCCAACTGGGACCAATTTTTACACAAAACTTTATGTTTTTTTATTTTGTTTACAATATTAGTTAGTTTGCCAAAAATTTATTTTTTTGTTTAATGTTTAGTTTGCAAAAACTGTTTTAATAAATGCATTTTCCATGTATTTTTTATTGAAAGATTTTTACGTTGATTGCATAAATAACAATTTTTTACTGTCGCAATCTTAATAAAACAGATAAGATAGTTGCAATACATTTTAGCAAACAGTAAAAAATTTCTATTTAATCAAATAAAATCGTAACGTCAGTTGTACAAGTTTGCAAACTATGTTTGATATTTGTTTTAAGTTTTAAACATTTACAGTACAAAAATTACACACAAATTTATGGCTTCTAATGCTTAAGCACAATTTTAAACCGACAAATAGTCATTTAAAACTCACCTGTTATTATCATGAATATGTTTGTCCTCAATGTATTTGCGTTTGTATTTGTTTTTGTTTTCATATTTATACTGCGACTTTTTACCAAACCTATCAAAAGAGGCTTTTTCTGTAACGATGTTTCTATCCGCATGCCCTATTACAAAAATGAATCGTTTGGGTGGATCACAATTTGGACTATATCATTTGGTTTGGCAATGTTAATATTAATAACCAGTCATGCGCTAAAGAAATCAAAGGTTTGTTGACAAAAACATTTTATTAAAGCTTTAAACAACATAATTTATTTAGAAAATGTTCAGCCACATCCTTGCAGAGTTCATCCCGTTTACATTTGGATTTCTAGTCAATGTTCTGATTAGTCACTTTGTCAAGACTACAACAGGTCGTTTGAGGCCTTGTTTTATTGAACTGTGCAAACCTGACGTATTACAGTCTCAATGTCAGCTCACACCAAACTTGTACACCGAAGATTTTGAGTGTACCTCCGGTGAATACT